AGCACCAGCAAAATGAGACAAAAAATCAAAACTAAGTGCTATATCTTAAAACAAGATCTCAAACGGCATCAAGAAGAACGAATCGAGAAGATTATAGAAGAAAACAGAAACTTAAGATCTATCAAGTCCCACCTAGAAAGAAATAAAATCATAGAGATGGAAAATAAACAAGGTGTAATAGAAAAAAGCAGAACCCAAATATCTAAGATAACAAGTGAATATTATAGTGACCTCTACAGCTCTAAAAACAGTCCATCTGATACAACTCAACAAAACCTGAAAAAAAAAATAATGAATGTAAACTCTGAAATATTACCCCCATAACCGGAAAAGAAATAGAAAAAGCAATTAAAGATATGAAAAGAAATAAGGCTCCGGGAGACGATGAAATTCTAATTGAAATGTTAAAAGAAGGAGGGGAAAAGGCAAAAGACTACCTAAAGATACTTTTCAATAAATGTTTGTTTGAAGGACAAATACCGCAAGAGTGGAACAAGGCCAATACAATTCTGATATATAAGAAAGGAAATAGATCAAAATTCACTAACTATAGACCAATATCTCTCTTGTCACAAATATATAAAACTTTCACTAAGGTGATCACAACTAGACTAAACAACAAATTTAATGCATACCAACCAGTTGAGCAGGCAGGATTTAGAAAGGGGTACAGCACAACCGACCACCTTTACACTAGTAAAATATTGTTAGAAAAGACCAACGAATACAACCTTCCAATATACCTAGCGTTTGTTGACTATGAAAAAGCGTTTTGAAAGCATAGAACTATGGGCAGTAGAAGAAGCGCTAGTTAATTGCTGAATAGATTCACGGTACAGAATGTTAATCCACAATATATATCAAAACGCCACTATGAAAATTCAGCTAAACAGAGATGTGCAAACTCCATTAAGGCTTATCCTCGATAATTGTAACGGCAAAATTCAGAGAGATGTCTATTTCAAAAATTTCTTTCTTTACAAAAACAAAATCCATTCACGAAGAATATTCTAAACGTCATCTTGTACTAGAGGTAAGCTTTATACCTACCTTATACAACCCCCTATTGTGTAAAGTCTTGGGTCTATACAATAAACGACTGGGCGGCCTTCTATTCAGTGTGGTTTTGAAATAATGTTGAATAAAAACATTCATGAAATTAAAATGAAAGAATTTACGTCTATTAATAGACGTGCGATTTATAAAATTAGTACTTGAAGCATAAATCGCGGGAGGAATATGTGCATCAGTTTTCAAATATTTATTATTTACTATATAATTTCTAAATTGAACCACTTTCACTTCTTTAGTTAACAATGTATCTGTTTTGACAACTAAATAGGTAATTAGACAAAATAATTATTAATTTCAAAACAGGAGTTTAAAGAATTAGAAAGAGGTAGCCCGGGCCCAGTTAAATGGTCAAGCTTATTCCAGTGGAAGCAATAAGGAGGATTATTTTTCGTTTTGACACAGCTGACATGCTCTCTCTAGTACTACAACCCATGAAACTGTGGTAAAAAGCATGCTTTATTTATACGGTTGTGAAACACGACGAATAACAGAGACAGATTAATATCGAAGAAAGATATCTCGCCGAACTTAATGCAATAAAGTATGAGAATAGAAGGTACAGTCATGGATGGCATACATCGAAAGCAGCTCAAATGGGTACAGGTCCAATAAATGAAAGACAAGAGACTCCTAAAACAAGTACCTGTATGAACACCTACCGTAATCCAGAAGAGAGGATTACCTTAGAAAACACGGATGGAAGGAATAAGAAACTTAATGAGCTCGAAAGAACTTAAAGAACAATGGAATAACCGAATTGAATGAAAAATGAACGTCGGAAGATATTTTATAAGGATTATATCATATTATAGGTACATTTTTTGGACTAAAAATAAATTTGAAGAAAACCAAGTTCATGGTATTTACAAAAGCACAAAGCATCAAAGTTAAGCTAGTACTAGATAATAGAGAAATTGAACAAATATCTTTGTACAAATACCTTGGAGCATGGATCACAGAAGATACTGATTAGACAAAAGAAATAAGATGCCGCATTGGAATTGCACGGTCAACTTTTAATAGAACGAGAAATCTTTTTTGTAATCGAGATATCAATATATCGCTACGGATAAGAATGCTTTGATGTTATATTTTCTTTACCCTTTTATATAGGATTCAAGCTTGGTCACGGATCGCAAAACAACCGAACAAGTTCTCGAACAACTAGGAAAACAATGCGAAGTTTTAAATTCCATAAAAATCAGGAAATTAGAATACTTGGGGCACATCATACATCACACATCAAGACGTAAAATCTAGTGGTTACGTAATCTCCGTGAATGGTTTGGATGAAATTCAACTGAACTATTCAGGCGCATATCCAACAAAATGATAATTGCCAGAATGATTTCCAATCTCCGATAGGAGTGGAACTTGAAGAAGAAGAATAAGTACATTATTATTATATCATATTATATATATATATATATATATATATATATATATATATATATATTTATATAATATATGATATAAACCATATTGAAAGAGGTTACAACATAGACAATCAACAAAATCTACATCGACAACTACACAGTGAACACCCAACAATAATAGAAGTGTCAAATGCCGTCCTAAAACTCAAAGACAATAAAGCCACAGGAATCGATTAAATCTGTTGGAAAATATATAAAAAAAGGTGATGATCAGCTTTTTGCAGTAACCCATAAACTAATAGTACTTATATGGCAAAATGAATTTGTTCCAGAAGAGTGGCTAAATGAAATAATATACGTTGCATAAAAAGGACGATTAACTGGATTGTAAGAACTATAGAGGAATTACTCTGTTAGCATCTTCACCTGTTAGCACCCTGCTTGGCAGGGTCACATATCAGATCAATTTACGGTTGCAAAAGGCTTGAGACTGCGAGATCCTTTATCCATTACATTATTCAAATTAGTATTAGAAACTGTAATCAGAAAATGCAGCATGAAGATTTAAGAAACGATCATGAAAAATGAGCACCAGTGCTTGGCATTTGCTGATGATCTAACGATCCTAGCAAAAACCGAGTAAGAATTGAGAAGAGTTGTGAAGAAAATCATCGAAGAAGCACAGAAATTTGGATTGGAACTAAATGAAGACAAAACTAAATATATGATCATAGAAGGAACAGAAGGGAAAAAAGAAGACTTTAGTATAAGGTCAGTAAGTGGTAAAAGCTATAGTTTTAAAAGGGTGGACAAATTTGAATACCTAGGTGTAGTTTTCGATGAAAATGGAAAAGATAAATGGGAGCTCGTAGCCAGAATAGCAAAAGGGAATAAAAAATTAGGTGGTTTAAGAGCCCTACTGAACTCAAAATACGTTTCTAGACAAGGTAAACTCAGATTATATAAAACAGTAATTCGACCCACAGTAACATTGGAAAGATGGGAAAGGAAAATATTGAGATGCATATTCAGAGGACGAAAGGCAGAAAATGGTTGGGAAAGAAGAACCAACAATGAATTAATGGCTTTATACAAAGAACCTACTATTACCAAGTTCGTCAAGGCACAAAGAATCAGATGGTTGGGACATGTGGAAAGAATGGCAGCAAACAGAATTCCTAAACTAGTAATAACCAGAAAATTAATCGACCCCAAAAGAAGAGGTAGACCCAGAACGAGGTGGATTAGTAAAGCGGAGGAAGACCTTAAACACGTGAAACTGAGGGAATGGAAAAAAAAGCACAAAATAGAAGCGAATGGAAAAATATTGTACACCAGGTCCTTCAAAGTAGTTAAGAATGTTATATATACATATTTACGTTAAAGTTTTGTTTAAAATAATTGTAATTAGTTAATATTAGAATTATGTTGTAAAAAAAATGCTTTAGGCCTTAACGGCCTATTGTGCGTAAAAATAAATAAATAAGAATCGAAAATCGCGTTTTTTGCATTAATTGTTAATCATTAAAAAACGGCTCCGAAATGTACGCAGGAAACAGGTAGGTTTTCTTCTTATAGGTCTACAATAACTAAAAAAGTTGTCAGCTACCTGGATTATTGAGTGTCACGAGAAAATCCTTATTAGCCTGGACTAATATGGCTGGACAAGCAAGTGAAGAAACAAACTTCATATATTATGTAAACTTTACTAACAAAAACGTTGAAAATAAATATTCCTATAAATATAAATAATCAAATTCCATATTCAAATACAGCAAAATATTTGGGTATTGTCCAATAAATATAAATAATCAAATTCCGTATTCAAATACTGCAAAATATTTGAGTATTACTCTAAGCTTTTATGTAAAGAAGAAAAGAAAATAATAATTCTGATTGAAATACAAAAAAATGTACTGGCTGATTGACCAAAATTCTACGCAGTTTCTACATAATAAATTATTATATAAGCAAATACTGAAACAATAGTATTATTATAAAAACAGTATAAACATTTAGAAAGAAAATGTTACAAATTAACAGAAAATATTTCTATTCATATAAAAATTTAATCAAATTATAGGTACTTATTATAGGTACTGCTTATTTATATAAAATTTCCTCAATTTGAACATAAACTTCTTCGTGAACTACCCATTTTAAAAACAATTAACACACTGGTTTGTCAAAAGTCGAAATAAACCCTAATAATGTTATTCAACATTATTTATGACCCACCTTCGAGAGGGTATTATACTTCTTACGTAACCAACCTAACCGTGTCGACGAGAATCCAGAAACTATCGACAAGGACAGCCTGTACTGGCCGAGAGAGAAAGTTACATTTAGCAAAATTTGAGATTTTAAAAAAAGTTTATACCAAATAGCTGCTTTGTGTTACACTTTATGTTAAAAATAAAAACAGATTCGGAAAGTGGGTCAAATTCTGTAGTGCCCTATTTAAAAAAAAAATTTTTACGTTTATTTTAACCAAAAATATTTGAAAAAAAAATATTGTTTAAACAATTTATTAATTTACAACTAAATAGTGCACTAGAACTTTTTAAGACCTTTCATATAAAAAAAGAATCATCTCAATATCTGCCATAGTTTTTGCGTTATTTGATATAAACTTTTACATTGGAACTTAGGTATGCCCAGAAACGCAAGGAACGGCCTTAATTAAATTTTGTAGAGGTGTCATACAAGGGGATACAATCTCACCCAAACTATTTACTTTGGCGTTGGAAGACATTTTAAAATTTATAGACTGGGACAATAGAGGGATTTGTATAAACGGGAAATATTTAAATCATCTAAGATTCGTCGATAATGTACTCCTGATAGCAACAACTATGGAACAACTACGAATAATGATTTCAGATCTAGAAAAAACATCTCTTGAGAAAGTACTAAAAATGAATCTAGAGAAAACTAAAATAATGACTAATACAGTAGACAGATCAGTAACTACCATAGGTGGAACAAACATAGAACACGTCCAAGAATATATTTACTTAGGACAAGCTATCAGAGCAGACAAAAGTAACCAGACTGAAGAAAAAACCAGAAGAATAAGAATGGGGCATGTTGCATTCAGAAAACTCTTATATACTATCAAAAACCAAAAAAATACCTTTAAAATTAAGAACGAAGGTAATGCATGCGTCTTACCTGTTCTGACATATGGTGTCCAGACGTAGACGTGTACCAAGAGCAACTTAGATAGAATAAAAAAAACTCAAAGAGCTATGTATAGACAAATGTTGGGAATATCGTTGAGAGATAAAAAGAGGAACGAGTGGATGAGATGCAAAACTGAAACAATAGACGCTGTCGAACATGCATTGAAATTAAAAATGAAATAGGCTGGGCATAACAAAAGATATCAGGATGAAAGATGGAATAAAGAAATTGGCCGCTGGAGACAATTTACTGCAAAAAGGTCAAGAGGTCGACCGCAAATGAGATGGAAAGATGACATTGAGCAAAGCGCAGGTCCAATGTGGAAAAGACAAACAGCAGACAGAGACAAATGGAGACAAATGGGAAGGCCTATATTCAACGCGTGAATAGATTTTTGGCCATAGATAGATATATTCGAGATGAAAATAATAATATACCCTACTTTATCAAAAGGACGTCAAACAGCGACGTAAAAACTACTTTGACAGTTTACTAAATAAAGAATGTGATACAAATCCAGTTGAGTCAACGGAGATAGTTACAGCAATAGTCACTACAATAACAAACGAAAAAGTTTGTTATTGTTATTTATTGTTAATTATTGTTATATTGTGTTGTTATTGAAAAAACATCAAAAAAATGAGAAAGGTAATGCAGATTATATTCCTGGCAAAGTGTAGATAGATCTATTATAGTTTGAAACAAGTTGACTGACAAAATAACGGAAGTGGGATAATTACCAGACATATGGAGAAGTAGTATATGAGTACCTGTTTATAAAAACAAACATGCAGAAACGTCAAAATATGTTAGATAAAACAATGCGAAAGCAATGCACAAACTACAGAGCTATAAAACACCGTAATACTATCAAAGAGAGTAAAAGAAGAGAAATGATAAATAATATTTTAAAATATTATAAGAAATGAAGACCATCAGTATAAAAAAGAGATGCAGCAGATATATATTTAGATAAATCTAAAAAATTGTAGACAAAAATTTAAATAACCATATAAACCAAATTTTAAAAAAATAGCCAGTAAGTACACATCCGTCATCGAAGGAGGCAAATTGTGATGGTCCACTATAGAGGGTGTTTCAAAAATGTTTGTTGTAAATTAAACCACGCATTCCGGGGACAAAAATAAATTGATTGAATCCAACTTTCCTTAGTTACAGTAAAAGTGTACACAAAAGTTACAGCCCCTTGAAGTTACAAAATAAAAATTGTTTTTTTTTTACATTATCTCCTAAACTACTTGACATTTTGTAGTAAAAATAAACACGTTACTTTCTTGTTATGAAAGCATTTTCCATACAAAAGAAACAACATAATCTAAGCGCACAGAAAAATTTTTGAGTACGTTCAAATCCAATGAATTTTGTGGCATCATTAGTTTCACACATTATTTTTAAAACTTTTTGCTTTTTATCACTTTTTCAAAAAACTAGTTTTTCCTAGTTGGCCATAAAAGTACAATTAGTTTCTATGGATACAATAATTACAAACAGTTCCATAGATAATAGTCAATAATTTGAAGCTACCCTTTATTGTGTGAATAAGATTACTATTAAAATTTTGAATAATACAATGGCTTACACATTTCAGGAAGTGGCAGATATGCATTTCACTTTGGGTAAGTTGAATCAGATTAAATTATGATTTTAATAAATTACCAGGAATATCGTAGGTAAATGTCAAGGAAATAGTGCAGCATTCGCAAGGCGTTGTGCAGCAAAATACCCCAATCGAAATACACCCAATACGGGAAACGGGTACATTCCAACCGCAAGTTGCTGGCAATAGTGGTCGACCAATAATGGATGCAACTGATGAAGACATTTTAGAAATCGTTAAAGAAGTCCCCGAACAAGTACAAGGGTGATAGCTGTTCGAATAAATGTTCCTCACGTAATGGTTTGAAAGAGTTTGAAGGATCAACTGCTGAAACCTTATCACTTACAACGGTTCAAGAGTTATTGGTTGAATATTATTCTAGGATTAGATTTTCCGATTGGTTGTTAATGGAAAACACTTAAAATGATAATTTTATTAGAAATATTTTGTTTACCGACGAAGCTACCTTCAGTAGAAATGGAATAACAAACCATCATAACGAGCACATTTGGGCCGACGAAAATCGCCACGCCAAAAAACGACTAATCACCAAAGGACTTTCAAAGTTAATGTTTGGGCAGGAATTGTGGATAACAATCTAATAGGCCCAGTATTTCTTTTCAACAATTTAAATGGTAAGATTTATTTGCAATTCTTTATCGCAAACGATTTACAAGAGTATTTGGAAGAAATGAATATTGCAATAGGGCAAAATATGTGGTTTCTACAAGATGGCGCTCCACTGCATTACAGTAATGAAGTCATACCTTTGCAGGCAATATCCTGGTCGGTGGATTGGAAGGGGTCGTGACGTACCTATTTCTTTTCCACCTAGAAGTCCAGGCCTTAACCCCTTCGACTTTTGCTTTTGGAGGTTTATGAAAGAGAGAGTGTATTCTATATCAATAGAGGACGAACAACAATAAGGGTTAGAATAATTGAAGCTGCAAATCAGTTTTGTTAGAAAAATATGATTTTTCAGCGCATTCGGTTTTCCCTATTAAAACATTCCATTTTGAACATTTATTGTAATACTATAATTATATAGGTTATAGACATTTTTTGTACTTGTTAATTCATTTAAGCCATTTATTTAGTTGCCCGTAATTGTTATAAATGTTAATGAAAAGGGCCGTAACTCAATAAAAACTATTTTTTGAAAAAAGTAATAATAAAAGTACTCAAAAGTTTGAGGGAATTTGCCGCTGCACCCGCCTTAAAATATTTCTGTGCGCTTAGATTTTGTTGTTACTTTTGTATGAAAAATGCTTTTAGAACAAGAAAGTAACGTGTCCTTTTTTATTACAAAATGTAAAGTTGTTTAATAGATAATGCAAAAAAAACAATTTATAACACACCTTTCTGAAACACCCTGTACAATAACTTATATTCGAGCAAAATTACGTTAACAACCTGACACAAGTTAGAAAAAACCAGTCAAAAATAATTTCTGCCATTATATTTATTAATTTATTAAGTATAGTACATCATTATCCTTATTAAGTAGAGTATAATATTAATTCATTTTTAATCATTTTTTTATATCAAAATATCTTTTTTTAGGGACTAAAATGGGTTTATTCATTACTAACAGTTGTCATTAAATTCAAATGACAATCTAAATTAATTACGCCACTAAGTAAGTTTGTGTTATTAAATAAATAGTTTTTATTATTATATAAATACAACTCTATATGACCATATATGTGTTTGATTTTTTACGATACAGTTTCCCATCAGACGCATCACTAGATGGTGAATTCTAACGCCCTAACCGGTTTAAGGATCAACGAATAGGTGGGAAATAAAATACCACCCGCTAAACAAAACAGACTAAGGATTATTCTGCGGACGCATCTGCAGATGTATCATCACAAGCTGACCACACATCTGTAAATCGTTCAGTCTGTGTTAATTCCCGGGAGACACAATATCTACGCGAGCATTAAAAAAATGGTTGTTGAGACCATAGCTGCCGCATGCAGCTATAGTATATATGCCTATTATGCGGCTATGTGCCTATTTAGAACGTTCAACTACTACTTGAGTAGGCACATCAAAATAGAATCATTAAAAAAATAAAAAAGAAGAAGTCACAGGACAGATGTGTGGAAAGGCATCGGATGTCCGCACCAAAACCTTTTGATCTGTGCTAAAAAAACCGACAACAATCGGATATCTTGCAGACGTTTTCACAGACGTGATATATAAACAACAGATGATCAAATTACCCCATCTACACATCTCCAGATGCATACGGAGATGTCGTCCGCGGACGCGTCTGCCGATGTGTAGAGGAGTTATCAGAAGAGTCCCTGGACCTCCGAGACTGGGGGTTGGGCGTAGGGCTAACGACCCTATCCTGAAAAGAAAAGCATTGTGATGAGAGCTAAAAAACACAAACCGGACGTACTTTATGTAGATGATATGGCCAACGAAAAAACTATATTCAATTTGGATCATGAAATGTGAGAACATTGTAATCTACAGGAGCGATGAGATACATTTTAGATACTCTTAACAAATATAATATGAACATAACAGCTATACAGGAGGTACGATGGAAAGACCGGTACTATCCAGAAGAATTTAAATACAATATAGTATAACTGCCATCAAATGCAACATATCTTTGGTGTAGGCTTTGTAGGTAGCAAAAAAGTTGGTAACCTAATAATAGGTTTTAACGCTATCAATTATAGAAAATGTCTTTTAGGAATAAATGGAACATTCTTCAACTATAGTCTCATAAATGCACATGCTCCCACCAAGAATAAAACAAAAACAGAAAAAGAAGAAATACATGAGAAATTAGAACAAACATATAGACAGTGTCCCAATAACAACGTTAAATTAATTATAGAGGACATGAATGCTAAGGTATGACAGGAAGAGATGTACATACCAACCGTAGGACCTCATAGCATACATGAAGAATGTAATGATAATGAGACGAGATTTGTAAATTTTGCAGCATCTCTAAACATGACGATCAGTAGTTTATGCTTCCAACATTGTAGCATTTGCAATTTTATTGATCCTTTGGTATATATTTGAATCCCATCGTTTATGTAATAAATTGAAATCCCCTCATATATGAATTAAAATAACGAATAAAAAAAGTTTTTGAGTTTTGTGTTTAATGCCGACTTAATAGTCAGTCCAATTTGTAGTGTGAGATGCAGTACTTCTGTTCGTGTGTTCGTGTCCATAGAGTTCAACCCCAGTTATAGTTCCAGAAAATTTAATGTGTGATAAAGTGAAATTCAAGTAACTTTTGTGTATTAATTTTAAAGTAAAGACAGACATTTTTTAATAATTATAATAATTGCTTTTGTTAAAATTTAAGGGACTTGTAATAATTAATAAATTGTAAAATTTTAGTGTTTGATTTTAACTGTCAATTTATTTGTTCAGTTTTTTTTAAATTTAATTTTAATATATACACCAGAGGGACCGCAGACGTTCGGATACAATTAGCGTCTCTTAGCAAAGACAATAACGTCGACTTTGCTAAGTATCAAGACAATTACTCTACACACACACACACACTACACAAGGTACCTGAGTGTACC